GTAACTTTTAATATTAATTCTCTTACATTTTCGTTGAAATAAATTAATTACAATTTAATAAATGATGTCCTAAGTCATTATCTAGACTTTTTCCTTTAATGCCCATAAAGTTCTTGCTAATTTGGCACTCTTGGGTCTATTTTTTTATGATATGACAATTTTTTTTCTTCATATCAAACTAATTGCCAAAGAAATAGTTAATCAATCTCAGTTAATTACTTATACAAAAAATACCATGTCATTAAAAAATTGGTCCAAAATTATTAAATCAATAAGAGCTTAATAGATATTAAATAGTAGTTACAGAATAGATGTATGATTACTTTATTTTTTAAATTTTAATTAATTTATTTCAATCAAAATATAAAAAAATAATTTTATTCAACTTGAAAGTATGAAAAGATATTTATTTAAGAAAAATTATAAGGGTTTATTTCAATAACAAATAAAAAAATAAAAGGTAAAAGTAGAGAAGTTATTATATTTTTCAATATGTTTTTTCACCAAAAAGATATCATTCTTTTATTGGAAAGAGACTAGGAAGAATTCGAGCATCTCTTTGAAGCATGTACTCTTCCATACATAATTCAGCAAGGACCACTTCCTGATCAAGACGTATCAGTTTAACTCACTCGTATGATTTTTTTGGGCCAGAAAAAAAAGAAAACTCTCATGTTAAGAATTTTTTCATCATACTTCATTTAATCCCCAATTTCTCTCTCGTTTGAAATATAATTAATTTATATAGTTTTTTATAATTTTATAATTATTATTGTACAACCACAACGTGATTTTAATCTTTGACCTTAATTATGAAATCAAGATTTTAATACCAAAAGCAAGAGAGTTACAATGTTAATTAAGTAAACAACTAGATACGCGTTATGAAACAGCACTTGACATAATCTTTATTGACTTGATTATAATGCGGGACATGCCCTAAGAAATTAACAATGCCTTGCAATTTATTTAAGTTTCAAAAGGCTCAACTAGCAAAGATAGTATCTGCTTCCTAGTCTGGCGATC